GTTTCTTCCCTGCTACTCACGACTTTCTTCTGTGGGAAGTCAACATGTAGCTCTGTCTCGCTGACAGACGAAAATGTCCCGTGAACACTGATTAAAATAAATCTCCCTTATTAAACGAAACTAATCAATCCTGTACAACAATATTCATAAGAAAGAAACACTCTGTGCTGATATAGCTGCAACGCCGCAATCAGCTGAGAGGTGGCAAGTGGCGTGGAATGAGTCCCCAGTGGCGGCCTTCTCATCCAATAGTGATCGGAATAGCGATTAATCCACTTAGAAAACAACCAATAAAATAACACGGCTCATTCCACACTCCCTGACACCCCTCGGACTGATTGCGCTGATTTTTACTGCACCATTCCCTTCAAGCACGATAGATGCACGCCCCGCAGAAAATAAAATGAGAAAAGCGAACACAAATGAGATCTCAGTTAACAACCAATTAACTTCAATACAACTTGATAATTTGCTCCACAGGCTTCCGCTTCAAATCGGGAACAAGGGCATCCGCTGCGGCATAACCCAAGGGTAAAAGAAGCAATACCTGAAACAGTACACTTATCTTATTTATGTCCTATTATTATTATTATCACTGTGGCCAGTACCACACTGAGTAAGCTCAGAACAATGAGTCATTACTCACACACTCATTAGGCGGCCGTCGTAGAAGACGCGAAATTTGTGAACCTGCATTCAGCGGAGAAGTCACGACCGTGTTGAGACCAACGTACTGAAAGCCTTGTTATGACAACGATTACGCCATCTTATTTGCAACTATACTGATGTCCCGTTAATACAGTCTTGTTAGCTGCGGACGCTGGGTGTGTCAGATGGGCTGGGTTTAGCGCTGCCCCAGCAAAGTGAAAAATAGATCAAATGAACAACCACGATGATTTCAGCTATTAGGTCTCGTTCATATTACCCCAGCATGTTCTCCACCAATTGTGGACGCTGGGTAGCGGCAACAACTGGTGGAAAACTGGTCTGGGGTTTGCAGCAACCTAGCCCTTCCCCGCCCTCCCCCGACACAGCTCAGCGTCCGCAGCGAACACCTGTAAGTCCACTAGTAGATAAGTCACTATGCGATCGAGACGCGAGCACGGAAACGCTCAAGTTGAACCTTTTAATTGTTTCTGGAAGTTCGAATTCGAAATGTATCTCAACGCAGATAGATCGTAACAGAGCAATAACGAGAGAATAGCTCAATGACTCAAAGATTCGTGCAGAGGTAAATGGATAGCCAGTATGCTTGGAGCAAAACGAACTAAGAGAAGAAGCTCTTTTGTGATGGGAGTTCCACTCTCAAAATAGCTCATAATCTTATGGATCGAGTTGAAATGATATTAGTCAAGTTCCAGAGAGAATGAGTAAGACAGAGACTGCTCTGAACTGACAGGAGAAAAATCCATCTCCTTATCGAGGCAAAGAACGATAAAACAGATACAATATGAAACTAAAGCCCACGATGAATCTAGCTTTTCGGTTTGTTCATACTTTGTGCCAATTTAGAAATACGAAAATCCAGGCAACTAGCAGTGCTCAATTTGAAATCATTAGTGAGAATACTTCACTGTTCTTTTTTTTTTTTCTCTTTTTTTCAGCTTCACTTTCAAGTCCTCTTCTAACCTCCCTTCCCATAAGGCTTCCTTTTCTTATGTTGTTAGCTCAGAACTTTCGTTATCCGATCTCTGACTTGTCCCAATCACCCGACCTTTACTGTTAACTTTAGTGATCGCCTCTGCTGAAGACGCTCACTCAAGTAATAAATCAGTTCGGCACGAGTAAGTCCGCTAAAGAACGAGTAGGATTAATATGCCAGGGCGACGGAATTCAACGCACCACTGAGCGGGCGCTGCAGTAGCGCTCGTCCTAGAGAGGTACCTCTTACAAAGAGGCCCTTTCAAGCACAACATACCGCACCCGAACCGCCCACGCACGCCGCAAAATGGACGACGCGTTCCTGACGCTCGTATTGTCAACTTTAGCTAAGCAGATATGAAGGGAAAGGAATCGGTATGAGGCTGTCGGCCTGCGCGGCGTGGGTATATGAGTACATACATGCAGCCATAATCTTCGGTAGCGGTTAAGCAAGATGCCTAGGAGAATCTCGTCCGAAATTGATCTTTGAGTCACTGGCAACAAAGGCTTTTTCTTCGCAGGATTTTCACCGTTTCACTCCGTTCCTTCGTCATTTTTCCACTATTTAGCGCCCTGCTAGTATTTTAGGCCGGGTGCCAAATTATCGTACCAACTGCCTTTAACCTTTCGATAATAACGATTGGTTTCAACTCACAGCGCCCCATTCAGTGCTCGCGCACCCAGACCTATCCAGGAGCTTCAAAGCAAATGATTAATCCATAATCAAAAAAGATGTCGCAATCCAGCCTGGGGAGGATGGCATTATGTTTACTCCTGTGGACGTATCATGGGTTTTCCGAGGATTTCTGTGAAGACAAACTCTCTTAATACGAAATAGTGAAAGCTTTATCTTCTCGCGATTTCCTTTTTCATAGAGACCACAAAATGCCCCTCCCTGACGAAACTAGGTAATATCAATGATACCTGTATTGCGGACAGCATCATTCCAACAGCGATAGCAGTGCTGATTTCGTTGTAGTGGAATAGTCGTACTCTTGCACTTCCCACCAGTTTTGAAAATCTTAAGAATTAAAAATATATCGAGCCTACGGATGCCCACGTATGTATGTGCACACGCAAGTAAATAACCATTTCAAATCAAAGTACGTTCCTCTTCAGGTCTAATACAATCCCCCTCCACTAACGAGCAACTACAAGGATTTGGCATAACAGCCCTGATTCCGTGTTAGGCAGCGTTCAGACTTCGATGGCAGCGCTTCGATCGCGCGTGCTTTCGACTCCGTCGCGAAGTCCGAGCGCTGCCTTACATATAAAGCCTGAAAGCTAGAAAACAACTTCAAAAAGAGTTTGTTCAATCAAACAACTCTTCATATCAACCTGTACTCGTCAAGGCTTCTGTTGTGGCCCTCAAACTGTTGAGTTAAAGACAGTCCCCCTTTCAACTCGTGGGGGCCTTCTCCTATACAAGTAGTCTGGCCAGTATCTAACTAGGGAAGGTCGTCAGGTCGAAGTGGCCATTTGTAATGAGATGTAGCTCACTAGACGTGGTTTTGGACGCTGATCTCGAATCTGCCTTCGAAATTTGCAGAACGATTCTCTGAACGGAATTATGAAGGTTTGTTAGAATTAAAATGAAGGAAACAGAGTCGAGCGCGGTTGCCGGCCATCGCATGAATAGCCGGGAAGCACCATTACGATCAACGGCGGCATGGTGTAGTGACAACGGTCTTGCTTTCGCGGGCATGCCATGAAGGGTTCGGATTTCTGGAGAGGAACTTGTTTTGCATTTTGTGGGGAATGTCTCTTTTCAAGTCTAGAAAACACTCAAACGCCAAATGGGTGCCATATTCGTGTTCAGGGAGCAAAATCCTTGGGGACAGGTTTCGTAAGAAGGGGTAACGAGGCATTGTGCAGGAGAATGTATCTGCAGCTGAATAGGTGTGAACATCAACTGAACTAACCCATGGATGCTTCACTTTTCGAAGTCAGGTCAAAATGCCAGATTTGGCTAGAAACCTCTACCTAGGCGTAGTTCGCCCCCATAAATACGAATATGGCACTCGCTCAGCGCGAAAACGCCTGCACTGCGCAAGGGCACCTGTACATCTCCTAGATCATAAGGCACTAAGCGCGCCAGTAAGCGAACGCAAACTGTTTTTCAGGCAAGTCAAGGAGAGCGCTAATGTAGTAGTGACGCCACAACCACTTTTTGCCACGTTTGCACAAGAAGCAAAAAAGTTAAGCTCAGCAGGGATCCGATCCCACGACCTGTTGCGTGGTAAACGCGGTGGAAAAAGCTCCATAACTCCGTTCAGAGAATCGTTCTGCAAATTTCAAAGGCAGATTCGAGATCAGCGTCCAAAACCACGTCTAGTGAGCTACATCTCATACAAATGGCCACTTCGACCTGACGACCTTCCCTAGTAAGCTGGTCTCACATTTGCTGTTTCACAGGAAATAACGAAGGCGTTCTCATAAGTGGCAGTGTGACGCCTCCCTACTTGCTCTTCCCACCAGAGCTCGAAGGCTAATACAATGAGGCTGCCAGGGGGTCCTTGTGGCGTCCTCCAGGACTTTTTCTAGTTTTTTCTTCTCCGGAGAGTCACTTAGCGAGTATAGGTTTTTTTATTAAACGCCACTACCCAGAGTATGCAATCGCATTGTCTGTCTGCAAATGTGAAGATGTGTGCTCTTCTGCAAGACATTTTCGTTCTTTGTTACCGTTGAAGAGCTCTCTTAGTATTTCAGAGCATCAATGATATCCATGGCAATATTGCTATTTTCCATGGCTAAACTCTTATCTTTTTATCACTCATTGTCCTCCCTCTCTTTCGTATACACGACAAGGATCGGATTTCACACCAAAGTGGGTCGTTGTTATTATCGCCACTCCATTAGAGGTTCTTTTCGTTGTTCATGGATGTTCGATGCTCTGAGGTTTTTTAAAGACAAACTGCGCTCTCCCTTTGTGGATCCTGGTCCTTGCCATGCGTGGATTGGCTTCACAATAAGCTCGAGCAGACAGACAGAGTGCCGCTTTCGCCGGTGAGGTTAACGGAAACGGGCTGGAGGACAGTGTCGTCGTCGAGTGACAGTTATCACCCTGGTGTCGTCTCCATAAAACGCTCGCGCCAGATACACGCCTAACATGGTCAAGCACGCTACTTGTCTGCGCCCTCTTCTGACCATTTCCCTCCCTTGAACGCGTGGTTCGCAGGGGGATCTTGACATCGACGCAAGTGCTGCTTTTTGAGGATGACGGAGACCTCACTCGAACATCACCATCATTCAGCTCCGTTCTCGTGCATCTTTGAGTGGAGAAAGTAGCACAATACTGCAGCTTCGAACCCATTTACCTCCCACATGGCGAGACCGTCCTCGGAGGTGGGTGTACCGTTCGTCTTCAAGTGGAACTGCAATGTAAAGGGACCAACTGCCATGCAGCTCTGGCAATTAATTAAGGGTTCGTCGCAAGCGTGCCACGTGGGGGCACTTTTGCCGTTGAGAGGTAATCGCGAACAGATGTGCAGTGTCCAATTCATTTTCAAAAACGTCCGCAGTGACCTGAACCTTGTCCTGTGCGGTTCAAGAGATGTTCGACTCGAAAATGTCCAGCTGAAAGTGGAAATGATACACCAAGCCAATAGGGAAAGTTATTAATAACAGAGAACGGACCAACTTTTCATGAACCCCTTTTCTTACATTCGATATGAACTAGCGAGAAGACGGCAAAAAAAGTTGTGACTGCCTTACGACTGCTCTAGAACCATGTAGCTAGAGTGTTCGAATGTGATACTGCAGGCACGATCATAATAAAGAAAAAAATAATCAAATCATATCAGAAAGAAAAAATAATAATAGAGAAAAAATAAGCTCGTAATCTGTTACCTCATGACAGACGACTAGGAGGACCGGTGCATCGGTTAGATACGGTCGTTTCCATGTTTCTTGTAATTGCGACACCCCCATAACCCATTCAGTTCCTTCGCCCATCCTTAATTAAACAACGGAGGTCTTGTCAAAAGACCGGCAATTAACCAAAAAAAAACTCATAGAAATAAAAAAATAGAAGTTTATGCGAGATGGTCTGATTCAAAAAGTGTGCATGGAGATAGAATATGCATCGTTCTTTTCAAAAGGCACGTTTCGCGAGTTTGTGAACGAGAATGTGGTAGCGATATAGCACCGAACGATGACAAACGACCCGTCGAAAAACGCTGGCAAGTTGGGCCTCTCTGGTATGTAGGGATTGCACAAGCAGGGGTTCACAGAGACTACAATTGATCAGTAATTGATGCGAACAAGCGCTGAAGTGTTACGAGGTTTAGGATTGACTGGGGTTTCCTACCAATAGTAACCGCTTGAAGTCGTCATCGACTGCTGCGGGTGGGCTCATTCTACGCCTCCTGACACCAGCCCCGCCGGCCTGAGGCACCCCTCGCATCGCTGCTGTAGCAATGGCAGGGGTTCTCGGCAGCTACCCGGCTGGCGTTCGAAGAAGAGCACACAAACATCCGAGCAATGAGAAAATGCAGTTCTCTATCGAGAGAGCACTAACCATCGACATGCGAGAAGAAAATGGTATCTAGTGGGTGAGACACTTCAGATACGTCATACTCATATGTTACAGGTCTTTGTTGTTTGTGCTTGGCATCTTTGAGGGCAAGGTGGTACACAATATGCCATTTCGGAGCCCTTCACGTATCTGTGAGTAGGAACTTTTAACTTCTCGCACCGCAAATGTGACACGACGAGCCTTTTTTTCACGACTCGTGTTTTAGGCGACGCATTTTCTCCGTTTGAGGTATGTTGTATTTCAAACAAGTGAGCCATTATGAATGAAGTGTGCCAACATTGCAAGGGACGAATAGACGAATATTGTATCTCACGCGCTGTTAACCCTTTACTGCCTCGATATTCGGGAATCAGATGAAATTTTTCTTATTTTTGTGAATTTCTGGCATGTTTGCTAAGACTTTCACACGTACCCTGATTTCTTTAACATGATCATTCTAGCCGCTTACTCGAAACCACCTGGCGTCAGCGCCAAAATAACAAGCATAAAGCCGCTGGCGCAAACATAACATTACCAACTTCGATGATAACCTATTCCCAGGGTAGTTTGACCCCTGAACACGAATATCACACCATTAGCAAAAACGGCACACATGTTTCATCCCTGCGGCGTGTGGCGCGGACTCCTTGCGTCTCGTGATAAGCGGTGTGTTGAGGACAACCCCCGCGCTCGAGTAGTGCATGCTCGTCCTTCCTTGTGCAAGTAGCGCAGCCCCCAGGCAACAGACTGTCCCACTCTGCAACTCCACAGCGAGCGAGGAGCTACAGCTGCTGAAAGTTCTAGTTCTAACGCCCGCCCAGTTGGACCGCCCACTTGCTAGATGCCCTCTGACGGAGGGCCGCTCAGTTGTTCTTTGTTGGGGCGGCGGGCATTAATCGGAATTGCATGCCCTTTTTGGCATCAATCAGTCAACTCCAACCCATCTTGCAAGGTAAAACGCGTGAAAATCACGAGCGACCCAATTTTCGTGGTGCAAAAGCTCGACGCACCCACTACACTAAAAGATGCACGCTACCGTAACCCTAAATTCAGACGCCTAGTTTTTGGAAGTTTCTTTTCCTTTTCAAGAGTTTTTCTTCCGTGTTTTGTTGTTTTTCGTATTCTTTTCATTGCATTGGATGATACCCACTACTGGGAGATGTGATAAAGGAATTTGTGAGCCAGGGGTTGCACAGAGACCGCAGGAAGGTGTGACTGCCAGGAGCGATTTTGTTTATAGTGTTCTTGAGGACTCTTCTTGCTTTTTTTCTTCTTCGGGGAATTTACTATGCCCTACTTTATTGTGACCATAATTGAACAGCAACTATCCATGACACTTTTAGCACTTTTATCGCGGGAACTGTCTTTAAAGGAGGCACGGCGAGACGAGACCTTTTCTATTGCCCGCGACAATAACCCTCCCTTTCAC